TCAGAAAAGAGCCTACAATGTTCTAGGCCAACACTTGCCAAAAGTAAGAGGTAAGCCATATGTCATTTTAAATTTTCCATTCCAAAAAGTGTGAAATTAGTTGTAATATTTTATTAACCTAATATCCTAAATGTTATCATTTTAATGTTTAAAAAACACACTGGTAAAGTGTTGTGTGCTCTGCTTTGCACCTGTACATCTCCATCTGGATAGGACTGGGCTGCACAGTCCAGGTCTAACCATTTCACTCTATAGTGAAGACAGTGAACGATAAGATTAGGCAATTTGGTGAACTGTGTGGTCAAGCCCAAGATTCTTATTGCCTAATTCACATTTCAATGTTCTCTGCACTTGAGCAGACTCTGTCACCACTGTGTTTTATGTCCACAGGACACAGAGGTGTGGCAACTTACCACAACAGGCCTCCTGGTGCCTGGGGTGAACAAAATTCACAGGAGACCACAAGAACAAGTATGGGCTCAGTGTTGGTGGCTGGCTAGCAACCTCCTAGCTACCCCAGAGGCTGAGATCTGAGGATCCTGGTTTAAAACCAGGCCCAGGCAGACAAATCCAAGAGACTCTTCTCTCAAATTAATCAGCAAAATGCCAGAAGTGGAGATGTGGCTCAAGTGGCAGAGCACCAACCTTGAGCGAAAAAGCTAAGGAACAGTGCCCAGACACTCAGTTTCAAGCCCCAGTACTGACAAATGCACTTGCATGTGCGCAAACATACATACACACAAGGTATGGCTGAGACAGAAGGTACACATGGTCTTATCAGTAGAACTGAGAAGCTAGAATGTTCTATATTGACAAGCCCAGAAACCTTCATTACATATTGACATAAAAGGACCATGGCTGCCTTGTAAACTATATATTATCCAAGTCAGAAGTGCTTACATGGAAACAGAACAGTGTACACCAACTGAGCATTAAACTTGCATGATTTCTGCGAAGATTCCCAGTATCTCAACCTCTACTTTATTAGGGAAATGCATGAGATAATGCATCTGGAACTTGCTTTAAATACTCTGGCAAAAAAAAAAAAAAAAAAAAAGGAGAGGGCAGAGGCATCGGTGGCTCATGCCTGTAATCCTAGCTACTCAGGAAGCTGAGATCTGAGAATAGCAGTTCAAAGCCAGCCTGGGCAGGAAAGTCCATGAAACTCTTATCTCCAATAAACCACAGAAAACTGGAAGTGGTGCTGTGGCTCAAGTGGTAGAGCACTTGCCTTGAGCTGAAGAGCTAAAGGACAGCACTCAGGCCCAGAGTTCAAACCCCATGACCAAAAAAAAGAGGGGAGGGGGGATTTAGATCAAACAAAATAGCAAATGTTAGTAATCCTTAAAGCTGGGTGAGGGGCACAGAGCAGTTTGCTCTACTCTTTTTCCTATCTTTGCAGGTTTGAAACTCTCCATAGTAAAATTTTTAAAAATCAAGGAAAGTTGTGGCGAGGAGACAGAGAATAGTCTCACGAAATGAGATACCAGAGCATTTATTCTAAAATTAATAAATAAACTAACATTCCAACAGTAATAACAGGAGTAGAGAACTCAAAAATGTGCAGACATTTAACTTTTAAGCTAGCAGGCCAGCCAGGTACCAGTGGCTCATGCCTGTAATCCTAGAATTCAGAAGGTTTGAAGCCAGTCCAAGCAGGAAAGCCTGAGACTCTTATCTCCAATTAACTACTTTAAAAAGGTGGGGGAGGGAGGGAAAGCTGGGAAGGTGGCTCAATGGTAGAGTGCTTGCCTTGCATGCATGAGGCCCTGGGTTCCATTCCTCAGTACCACATAAACAGAAAAGGCTGGAAGTGGCACTGTGGCTCAAGTGGTAAAGCACTAGCCTTGAGCTGAAGAGCTGATGGACAAGCCCAGAGTTCAAGACCCACCACCAACAACAAAAAAAAAAAAAACAGAAGTGAAACTGTGGCTCAAGTGGTAGAGTAAGAACTTTGTGTGAAAAAAGCTTTGAGATAGTACCCAGGCCCTGAATTCAAGTTCCAGGACCAACACACCTACACACACACACACACACACACACACACACACACACACAAAGATACCCACGCCCTGAGTTCAAGCCCCAGAACCATGGGGAAAAAAAAAGTCAAGCACTTTTTCATACAAAGCTGGGGCTAAGTAGACACACACACACACACACACACACACACACACACACACACACACACACACACACACACACACACACACACACACCAGCTATACTGTTGTTTTATTAGTGTGTATTAATGGTACAAAGGAGAATAATCTAGGTATTTCACACCTTCATGTATTGTATGCTGATCAGATTAATCCAGTCATAATGAATTTTATAATAATACTCACAATATAACCAATTATGTCCTATTCTAAGATATTTAAATTCTTCCTAGTTGCTTAGTATCACAAATAAGTTTATAAGCATGCTTTTCATTTAATTAAAGGGTCCCTCTTAGTTTGTATGTGGGTTAAATTTCGGGCATGAATTTGCCAGTTTTAGGCTGTATGTGATCATTGGTAGAGGGTTTGTCTGAGCTTGATCCTCCCTCATCCCATATTTTAAAAAAATCTGTACTTCTTTGCATTCGTTTTTTTATCCTGTTTGGCACCCAGGGTATTTTGTTTTCAAAGCTAATTTCAAAGGAAATAAAGTGGGTTGGTTTTGTAAGTTTCTGTCTCCTCTGGCGTTCATATGTGTTTTGTGCCAGCACAAGACGATTTGCAAAGATAAAGAAGATCCTGTTTTTAAATGTTAGTCAGCTGATGTGGGATAATATGATTTCCCATTCAATACCAAATGTAGTTCATGCCTACTTGCTTAAGTGTTTCTTTTTTTTGGGGGGGGGGGGGTCCGGTCATGGGGCCTGAACTCTGGACCTGGGCACTGTCCCTCAGCTCTTCAGCTCAAGGCTATTGCTCTGCCACTTGAGCCACAGCACCACTTCCGGCTTTTTTCTTTTTGCTTATGTGGTGCTGAGGAATCGAACCCAAGGCCTCAGGCATGCAAGGCAAGTGCTCTACCACTGAGCCACCTTCCCAGCCCACTTAAGTGTTTCTTGAGACCAGCTTTTCATTGCATCAGATTTCCTGAAGCAATTCTAAATAAAGGGTGCTCAGTCTACTCCCTCAGAGACCAGTCATAAAAACGGTAAATTATAAGCAAGGACAGTTCTGTTCTGATTACTTAAAAAAAAAAAACTAGCCCTAACTCCTCTGTATATTTATTATTTTTATAATAACAAAAATAAATAAAACTCACAGCTTAAGAACTTACTAGTAATGTGACTATTTGGGAGGCTGAGACAGGAAGGTTGCTTGAACTCATGTTGGAGACCAGCCTGGGCAACACAGTAAGAACTCAGGAGAGGGAGAGGGAGGAAAGGGAGAAGGGGAAGGAGATGGGAAAGGAAGAAGATATAAAGGAGCTGCAGGTTGGATTACTTGAGAGTAGTTCACAAGCAACACAATGACGTATTTCTTGGTGCATTTCCTTCCTTTCAGGATATTACTCCAGTATGGCAAGTTCTTGGGAAGATCATACTACCTGCCATTTTGCTCTGTGAGTAATGAAGCATTCTCCTGGGGAATATCTTAAAACTTCAGGGCACCCAATACCCTGTTCACATTGGAGGCTGGCTTGCATCATTTAAATCAGCAGGAAGTTGTGGAGAGAAACTCCAGAAGTTGTCACCCGTTTGTGACCAGATGGTAGATGGTAAAAACTCTTAAGTAAAGGACTTACAGTCTTTGGAGACTGGGTAACTGAAAGTAGAAAGGTGAGAATCATATTCCAAGATCTTATGCAACCCACCATTTTGATATCTGGACAAAACTAATTCCTCATTAACTTTAATCTTCTCAAATATAATACAATCTCAAGCCATTTTTTTTTAATATACCCCTAATCATAGCACTCAGGGAGCTCAGCCAGAAAGAGCAAGAATTTGAGGTTATACATAGATGGAAGACTATTTCCTAGGACTGAGGCTGTAGTTCAGTGGCAAAGCAGATGCTTGGCATGTGCGAAGCCTCAGGTTCAATCCTCAGCACCACAGAGAATGAGGTAGAAGAAGAAACTCCTAAAACTGGTAGTATTATTACCACACACAATATAACACATTAGCTCAGTCTTGTTGAATAATGCAACAAAATCTATCTTGCCAGGTGGCAACAGTCACCTTGCAGGGACAGAGAAAGTCGAAAAGCAAAAGAAGCAAACATTCACCACACAGTGAGAGCAAGTCCAATGAAATAAAAGCTATCAATAATAAGAAATAAAGGAACACAGAGATAACATAAAAGCACCCTCAGAATTCTGAGAATCAGAAAATAGTAACAACCATGATGACGATGATAAGCATGGTGATGATCCTGATGGTGACAGCAATGGTGGTGGTGGTTATACAAATCTCCACTTAGCCAAGGTTTCAACCCTAGGACCAGAGATCTGTAGCCCACCACCAGAATGAATCAAGATACGTTACATAAGACTTATTTTAAATACCTCTGTTATCATGTTTCCCATTATTGGCAATCCAAACCAGCTCTTGTGGAAAGAGAGAAGAGTTCAATGCATAGCCAGGGGCTAGTGGCTCATGTCTGTAATCCCAGGTACTCAGGAAGCTGAGGTCTGAGGATCAAAGTTCAAAACCAGCCTAAGCAGACAAATTCAAAAAACTCTGATCTCCAATTAGCCAGCTTTTAAACGCCAGGAGTGGAGCTGTGGATCAAGTGGCATCAATCTTGAGTGAAAAAGCTAAAAGACAGGTCCTGAGTTCAAGCCCCAGTTCTAGCAAAAAGGAAAAAAAAAAAAGTCAATTTGCACAACATAGTGTCTGCCTCACTTACAGGAAATCCTGTGACCAGCAAACTCACATGACCAGGGAGACTGTGGCTGTTGGCCTCATACAGAGGTAACGAACACTCATGTTTGGTTCACCACGGAATTCAGTGAGCAGCAGTGACCTTGTTCCTTTCCTGGAAGGTTGAAGAACTCACCTAAGGCATGGCTACAACTCCGACAGGACTCCGTGAGACTGACGATTATGTGCTGCAGATCGGCTCTGGGAGGAGTGGGGGAGGGATTGGGGTTTTTCCAGCCATTACATTTACAGGACTCCTCCGCCTGAAAATAAAAACAAGAAAGACAAAAACAAAATTCTGTAACAGGCAGCCAGGGACTGATCGTCCTGCATGAGAACCATTGCACCCTAGTTATTATGACAGCCACCCCCAGACACAGCACACCTCCATTGTGTAATTTTCTATTTGTGCAAGAAAAATTAACACACAGGCGCATGCACACACACAGAGTAAAGGCAAAGGGCTTATTTGCTTTGGGCACTTCAGTTTTAGTTGTGCTTTCTGCTGGCTGGAGTCGGCTGACTCCCACCTAGCCTTTGCTTACCCCCCGTTGGTCCTCAGTGGAGATCCATGCAGGGGCCAGTTCCAAAAATGTCCATCCCACAAACTCTCCCCAAATAATGAGATCTTCCACAAAGTCAATGAGGGGCCTAGGTTGACTGAGCCTTGCAGATTCCAAGGTTCCAGATGCAAACTCTGGACCATGAGGACCAGAAGCATAGATATGAAGCCATGAGAATCTGAGAGATCTGAGCGGACACCCACCCACTGACACGTAATGAGCTCTGGGGCTTCTATCTGTGCAGATTGCCCAAGGGATTTGTACTAGAATACAGGCTTGTTAGAGCAATACTTGATGAGCGGAATTGTTCATTAGCCTTGTCCACATATTCTTCATACCCCACATCTTTGTAGAAAAGTCTTCTTGCAGTGGCCTGAACAAAAGGCACCCATGGAAAAACCATCATTTTCTGCACCAAGCTGGGACACTGTACCCCTCAAGGGGGTACTGTGGCTACTAGCATTCTTGTACTGAATTATCCCTATCACATACATAGACCACTGTCCTCCTCCTGTTTGTTTTCTTCCTTTCCTTATTTCCTTCCTTCATTCCTTCTTTTTTACTTTTTCTTTCCTTTTCTTCCTTCCTTTTCATTTTCTCTTTGTCTTTCTTTCTTCCTTCTTCCTTTTCTTTACTTATACTTTCTTTCCTCCCTCCTTCCCTCCCTTCCTTCTTTCCTTCCTTCCTATGATGGGGTTTGAACTCAGGGCCAAGGCATTGATCTTTAGCTTTTCTACTCAAAGCTGGTGGTCTATCACTTGTGCCAACTTACTTCCAACTTTCTACTGATTATCTGGAGATAAGAGTCTCACTTTTGTTTCTATTTTTTGCCAGTCCTGGGGCTTGTGAAACTCAGGGCCTGTGCACTGTTCCTGAGCTTCTTTTGCTCAAGGCTAGCACTCTACCACTTGGGCCACAGCACCACTTCCGGCTTTTTCTGTTTATGTGGTACTGAGGAATTGGACCCAGGGCTTCATGCAAACTAGGCAACCACTCTACCTCTAAGCCACATTCCCAGCCTCACAGATTTTTTGACCAGACTGGCACTGAACTGTGATTCTCAGATCTCAGGTTCCTGATGAGTCAGGATTACAGGCCTGAGCTACTATTGCCTAACTCTGCTAGGCATTACCTGAGGCTTCATTACTTGAAGCATTTACTGCTTCAGATCTGCTGTGGCTAGGAAACCAGAAACTAAATGGTGGTAATAGCAAATAACACACACTAGGGGCTGGGAAGGTGGCTCAGTGGTAGAGCGCTTGCCTTGCATGCTTGAAGCCCTGGGTTCGATTCCCCAGCACCACATAAGCAAAAAGAAAAAAGCCGGAAGTGGCGCTGTGGCTCAGGTGGTAGAGCACTAGCCTAGAGCTGAAGAGCTGAGGGACAGCGCCCAGGCCCAGAGTTCAGGCCCACTACCGGACCCAAAAAAAAAAAAAACACACACTAGTTCATTCTAGGCAAAAGCCTTTCACATACACTGTCCGACATGATGACCATTACCTAGCAACCTGAGATTAAATTCTTAAAATATGGCTTGTCCAAAGTAAATTACATAAGTTAGGAATGTGGCTTAGTGGTAAAGTGCTTGCCTTGCATGCAGGAAGCGCTGCGTTCGATTCCTCACTACCACATAAACAAAAAAGGCCAGAAGTGGTGCTGTGGTTCAAGTGGTAGAGAGCTAGCCTTAAGCAAAAGAAGCTCAGGGACAGTGCCCAGGCTCTGAGTTCAAGCCCCAGGACTGGCAAACAAAAACAAACAAACCAAAGTAAATTACACTGACCAACCAAAAACAAAAAAAAAAAACAACCTTTTCTCATGTAGCTTGTGTTGGGGTGGTTGGACAGGGGGCAAATGGCTCACACAAATAAGTAAATTATACAATGTATTACAAAACTACAACCAGAAGTTGAGTGCCTGTAGCTCACATCTGTAATCAAAGCTACTCAGGCGGCTATGATCTGAGGTTTATGATTCAAAGCTAGCCCAGGAAGGAAAGTTTTAAGACACTTTTCTCTAATTAACTACCCAAAAGCTGGAAGAGGACTAAGTGCTAGTGGTTCACCTCTATAATCCTAGCTATTCAACAGGCTAATGTCTGATTTCAAAAACAGCCTAAGTAGGAAAGTCTGTGAGATTCTCATCTCCAATGAATGAATGAATGAGAATTATTTGCAGTAGTTTTGAAAGACCCTAAACTTTTCTCACATTTGAGTTGCTTCCTTTGTCACTGAAATCAGTTCAAGCTCACAAGAAACAAGCTTTGAATTCTTGAAGACAACAAACACTTTCAGAGATATAGATCATCAGTTCATTACTGCAACCAACTCAATGCAATCCCCCCAGAAAGAAAAGCTTGTATTCCTTCTTGTCTTAACATGACAGACAACAATAGAAGTGTTCATAGGAGACCCACAATTGGCTGAGTCACAGATCTCATGGTAGGGAGATATATAATAATAAAGCCTTAGATTTCTCTTACTGGATAAAAATAAATAAATAAAAGGTCCATACCCCGAACTTTAACAAACACTTATTTAAGTCCCTGTGACACAGTGTTAACAAATTTTCCATACAATAAACACCAGGCCTTAACAATGTAACTGAATTACGATATTCAATCCACAGCATTATCCAGAAAGAAAAAAAAGAGAGACAGAGAGAGAAAGAAAGGAAGGAAGGAAGGAAGGAAGGAAGGAAGGAAGGAAGGAAGGAAGGAAGGAAGGAAGGAAGGAAAGAAGGAAGGAAGGAAGAAAAGAAAGGAAAGAAAGAAAAAAAGAAAGAAAAAGAAAGTCAGACAGACAGACAGGAGTAGATGAAAACAAATGGTCTTTTCTTGCAAAATTAGCTACTTTTGCCTCCCCTGAGTCATGGGATCTCAGTAGTTTCTATAAAATCTATTATTTATTTCTTTTGTCCAGAATGAGGGAGACTTTTCTAAATAAACAGAAAATTCTTGAAAACCAAGGAGGCTGAAGGGAGAGAGAAAACAGGCAGAACACCAGTAAACCCCACAGCATTCCTGAGGTGTGGGAGCTACCACAAGTGAACACTGACAAGCCACGCTGAGATGTGCTACCAAAAAAGAAAAGCTAAATATCTCATTAAGAACTCTTGCCAGTGCCCATGTAATTGTAACCCCTCTGTACAGTATTTTCACAATAAAAAAAAAAAATAAGAATTCTTGCCAGAAGCCAAACTCAAAGAAACAAATGGTGCATGTTTTCTCTCATACGTAGAAGCTAGATTTAAAATAAAAGATCGGGACACCACACATTATAAAGGCATTCACACACAGTGAGACCAAAGGATACTCTTTGGGGAGGAAAACTCAAGTACAATGTCTATGTGCATCTGACCAAATAAAATAATATTTATCGAAATGAACTCCAGGAAATGGAAGCAAAGAAGATTTTTTTTCCTTGTTGCTGTTTTTGTTTTCCTTTCTTCTTGTTTTGTTTGTTCAATTAGCTTTCTTTGGGAGGCGGGCACAGAAATGGAGGGACAACAATGGAGGACAAAGAGTGAACCAATGCAGCAGGAGTACTCACGATACTGAAATGAACTCTACAACTTGTGGGTGGGTTGAGAGGGAAAAACTGGGAGAGGGGCTGGGAAGGTGGCTCAGTGGTAGAGCGCTTGCCTTGCATGCATGAGGCCTTGGGTTCAATTCCTCAGCACCACATAAGCAAAAAGAAAAAAGCAGGAAGTGGCGCTGTGGCTCAAGTGGTAGAGCGCTAGCCTTGAGCTGAAGAGCTGAGGGACAGCGCCCAGGCCCAGAGCTCAGGCCCCACGACCGGACCAAAAAAAAAAAACAAAAAACTGGGAGAGTGTGAGGGAAGGGGTGATATTGTTCAAAAAATTAATGTACTCATTACCTGGCTTATATAATTGTAACCTCTATATATTACCTTTATAATAACAATTATATATACATATGAACACACAGATACATACATACGAAGAAAAAATAAAGAGATACTAGGCTAAAAATAAAAACAATTCTTGCCAGGGCTGGTGACTCATTCCTGTAATCCTAGCTCTTCAAGAAGCTGAGATATAAGCATCTAGGTTTGAAGCCAGCCAGCGTAGAAAAGTTTGTGAGACTCTCATTTCCAATCAGAGAGGAGATAGGAGGTGTGGCTCATGCCGTAGAGTGCCAGTTGCCTGAATGGAAAAAGTCAAGCGAGAGTACAAGGCTCTGAGGTCAAGCCCTAGTACTAGCACACACACGCATACACACGCATACGTACTCACACATACATACATACATACACACACAATTCTTATATATTGATTATATACTATAATGACATTTGAGTATTTGGTTAAAGAAGGTATTAAAATAAATGAAAATTAACTGCTAGACCTCTCTGTGTGTCTCTCTCCGGCCTCCAGCAGGCATGGCAGGTACTGGGATGTGGCTTAGTGGCAAAACATGAGGCCCTGAGTTCAAATCCTAGAACCACAAAAATAAAGTATACAGTGTAACCCTAATGATAGTTTAGATCTCCTTGGATCTCCAACTCCTGGAGTCCAAAACAGTGAAGAAATTTTGTTATTTTAACCCAAGCATCTTGTACTAAATCATTATGGTATCCCTGAGAAACTACTGCACTGAGCTACTAGAAAATGCTAAATTGCCTATGCAACTCACATTGCAATTCACAGGTATGACTGCACCAGAGTTTAAGACCCCAGTC